GGATATTTCATATAGGATATCTTCCCTGGGAGTTGCCGATTAGGCGAGATTGAGAGCTTTAGCTCAGGATCCCGAACTATCGAAATAGGGAGATGTTTGGGTCCGTGCGCGGAGCGTGTTGCAAAGCTTTGCGCAGCGGCCGGGAGCGGTCCGAGCCCTCCCGGCCCGTCCGCCGCACGGGCTGACCGCGGGTTTCCCATCCCCGAGAACAGGCTCAGCCCCGCTCACGTTCTCCTCTTAACTCGGGTCCTCTCTTCTCTCCATCGCCGTTCAGTACAGTGATGCAAGTCTGAACCTCCAGGTGACCCACGCGGAACTTCGCTGTCCGAGCTCAGGCACTTTATGGAAGCAATTTGGAACCCAATCGACAGGCTCACTAGATTTTGCAAACTGTGGTTTGGATGCGTAATTGTGACTTGGGATTCCGTCTGCGTAAGGAGTAGGGCTGCTCACCACAGTCTCGAACAACTTCATGAGAGGTGAAGCTCCGGTTTCCTTGTGGTTTGGTGCGATGTGTTTGAATGTTACATTTTTTTCTACAATGTTCAAAGGTCAGCATATCCTGTTAGAAAAGGTCATTCTCTTGCTTCAGATGATCAGTTAAATATTTCAGGCTCTTCAAGTCAATGCGATTGTCAGTGATGGGGAATGAAGCCAGGAGGAGCCCCGCGGGGTGCGTGTGCCGGGGGCAGGGGCGCAGGGGAGGACCCGGCGAGACCTTAGAGTAAAGGTCCTGAGCTTTTCTGGGTATTAAAGATCCATCTCAGTGTTCTAAGAAGCTTGATGAAGTATTAAGCTTGATGCTCTGGCAAAATCCCAAGTTACATAATTATATTATTCCGCTTACTTGAATTGTCCTTTCAATTTCAGATAGAGATGATACAGTCCTTCTCAAAGGGTAGTTTTTCCATGAATTGTTAAATGCTGCTGCATTCCAGCAGCGTATAAAGCAATTTCTCTCTATTCACCTCTTCAACATGGTTTTATAGTGGTGTGATGAAATGTTAAATTCTATCATGAAAACTTCTGTATAAATAGAAGCCCTCATTAGGTGGATCTACTTGGCCTTTTTTTCTTTACTAACAAAAATGTTTACTATAGTAACCCCAGAGAATATCTAACAGACTAAGAATTTATACTGTTATCTGTCCATCATCCACAATTTGTTATCCTCTAAGTACATCAGCACAAAATTAAAATCTGGCTATGCTGTTTTGCCGATTGTTAGGAGACAAGGGTTTGGTTTTTGGGGTTTTTTTGATTTTTTTTTTTTTTTTGAATGCACAGTGTAGCTGATGGCAAAACTTGGCTTGGATATTTTTATTGCATATGGTGACGTAAGAAACGAGAGAACTAGCCTTATTCTCAGATCTCAAGCTGAATTTGCATTCAAGAAAACTATTTGTGGTCAATTGTTTCACACCAAAGAAATAGGAGAACAACCTAGTAATATCTTGCTCTTGATACAAGTTGGTAGTAATTGCAAAGACCCAATCTGCTACAGTCAATTTAACTGAAAGGTTGAACTTCTAGTTTATTCATTAGAAGGTTGAACAAAGCTATTACACACTTGGGGAAGTGTAGTAGCTTTTCTATCCTGTTCATTTCCCAGGGCAGCACCAAGCTGTCAGTGTGGGAGATGCAGGTAGTAGCAGCAACTCATAGATTTGGGACATATTCTGCCGTTGTTACTGCTGCTTTCAGAGAGATTTCTCATGTGGGCAT